GCTATGTGCATGCGTGCTCACATAGACTTCATAACTATCTGATTTTATATGCATGTTGTAGACTAGATCAGTGTTTCTTAACCTCAGCAACTTTAAGATGGGTAGACTTCAACTCTCATTCTGGAGTTGAAGTCCACCCATCTTAAAGTTGCTGAGGTTGGGAAACACTGGACTAGATGGTACCTGTAACGGAGTGGTGGCAACCATTCTGGTGTTCCCACATGCATAGCCTGTCCCAAGGGAGGCAGAGGGGGATGTACATACTGATTCTGAAATTGTCTACTTCAAACAGCAAAGCTGTAACAAACCACCACCACCAATATGATTGTACCAAATTCCTATTACAGTATTAGGCCAAAGCATGCAGACTTTTACATCTTGATTGAATATATGGTGTGATCAAAATAGCAGGAGGGAGGGGCAAAAACTCCAAAGTCTGCATTTGGTTGGTTTTCAGATGAAATGGGGTGGGGTGGGGGGGCAAAGAAGACATTCCAGTTAGGTTGCTGTGATGGCAAGTTGCACTCTTCCCTCGGACTCTGGAATGAAGCCTAAAGTAAAGGTAAAATCTTGAAATTGAGTTCAATTCCTCCTGGTGACCCCATGGATATGTCCATATAATTTTCTTGGCAACAGTATAGAAGAAGCTTGTCATTATCTTCTTCTGGGAAGTTTTTGACTTCCCAGTTTAGAGTTCAGCTATTCTCTAGAGCAGTGTTTCTCTAGAGCCGCTCTCTAGAAAACAGTGTTCTCTAGAGCTGGCTGGGGAATTATAGGAGTTAAAGTCCATGGGAGTTGAAGTCCATACATCTTAAAGTTGCCGCAGTTGAGAAACACTGCTCTAGAGGTTTCCTATCCAAGGACTACCTAGGCTTAGCTTTCCAAGCCAACCAGGAAGTCTAGGGATGAGCAGCAAAACTGGTTTAGTTCATACAGTAATATGGAACTATTTATCTCAACTTCCTGCACAAATAGCTGAACTGGAATACAATTATCCTTTGTTTTGCACATTCTACAATTTGTGCATTCTATAGCCCAGTTTTTATCAACTTTACATTGTCATTATTATGTGCATTGTTTTACTTCTACAGGTAGTCCTCGACTTATGACCACAATTGGGACTGGAACCTCCGATGCTAAGCGATGTGATTTTAAGTGAATTGCACCTGATTTTATGACCTTTTTTGCCACAGTCATTAAACGAATCACATGGTCGTTAAGTGAATCTGTCTTTCCCCATTGACTTTGCTTGTAGGAATCCCTCTGGGAAGGTTGCAAATGGCGATTATGTGACCCCATTTGCTGCAACCATTGTAAATATATGCCAGTTGCCAAGTGCCCGAATTTTGATCATGTGACCATTGGGACATTGCAATGGTCGTAAGTATGAGGACTGGTCGTAAGTAACTTTTTTCAGCACTGTCATAACTTCAAATGGTTGTAAGTCAAGGACTACCTGTAGTATGAAAGCTCCACTGAGTCATGAGAAATGGGGCAATGTCAATACATATATGGGGAAAATACATACAAAAAAGCACATGAGAAGGAAAGTGCTAGCATAAAGAGCTTATATTTTTTCCAAGGTATCTTTATATACTGTATCAGGAACTAGCATGGTGCTTATCGTAGATAAGGCCGGAAACCTCACTGTGGCTCCCAATGCAGCTTGGGTCACATCTTAATCATTCATGATGCATAGTATTATTTAAACTATGTTCAGGTTTAGTGAGTGCCTAGGAGTAATGACACCGGTAAAGCTAGTTGTTGTGGCCAGGCCCAAGGCCCACAGCCCATTACTCTTACTTACCATGAATATATATTGTACATACATAGTCAAGCAAAGAAGGTTTAATATTTTTACATTATATTTTTTAATATCTTTATATTATTGCAATGTCTCAGTGCGAATCCAAGGCAAACTATTCAACATCACAGTATGACTTAGATCATATTCCTTGTGAGTACACAGTGAAGGTGATGAATAGAT